AGTCTTTACTTGTCTTCCACACATACAATAGTATCACAGTAACAGTAATATAATAACAATTTCAATTATATATTCACATTCATCATGATCTCATCAACGCATTGCAACCAATAAACATGATTTAGCTCAATGTAAAAAATCCATTAAAATGTCGTATAGTAGACAGAAGTCGTTATAAAATGCACAGTTTCAGAAAATTACCAAATTACCAAATATAGTGTAAAACATCGTTTGGAGACTTTCATTGTACTAAAGTAACATTTTTCAACATCCGGATCATTTTCTATTCGATAAAAACACATCAGAATTCAAAATACCCGGTGAAAACTTTCTAGAAAATACTCAAATCGTGCAGAATCATCATTTCTATAACATGCCAAAAATTACACGGTAAAAGTTTCGTCAATACAAAGTTATGCAAGAATTTCAGTAACGGAAACACAAAACTGAGCAGAAAAATACCAAAACTCAAAATCTTCGAAATCAGAAATAGGAATCGGAGTCCTTACTTCGAGATAAACAATTCTTCTAATAGCGGCGTCGGGCAAAAAGCGCACCAAGAGCTCCAAAACGTGGTCTTTTTCCTTCCTTTTCCTTCTCTTTCTCTCTCCTACTTTTTCTCTCTCTTCAAATGATTCCCAAAATATCTCAATCCAATATATATCCATGCAGATCATCCCGGACGATCCCAAATCGTCTCAGGATGATTTGCCCTATGTACAAAATTCGTTCAGACGAAAATGCATTCGTTCCTAGACGATTTGCTCTATGGACAAATTTCATCCCAACGGTTCGTCCAGGCTCGTACAGGTTCGTCCAGACGAACCATACAGATTCTTCACAATTTTCTTCAGTTCGTCTCGTACTAAAGTCAGTTCGTACGGACTAACTGCACTGAAAAAAATGCACTTCGAAGAGGTTTTACAGTTACCAATACTGAAATTAAGGAGGTTGTCTTTGTGGGGCCATCGGCTTCTACCCCGGGACCGGATGGGTTCACCTTTTGAGTTTTATAAATCTACCTGGAATGTTATTGGCATATATGTCAGCAATGCGATTAAGTATTTTTCAATACAGGCAATCTTCTAAAATGGGCCAAAGCCACTGTCATTGCCCTTATCCCTAAACATTCTCATGCTTCTAACATTAATGACTTTATGCCCATCTCACTTTGTAATATTTTCTACAAGATTATTGTAAAAATTATTGCCAATCGTATGAAAAGCATTATGCATATTATTGTCCATAAGAGCTAGGCTGATTTTATTTAGAAAAGGATTGCTTCTGATAATATTATTCTAGCCTCTGAAATTTTGAATGAATTCAATGCCAAAGCTAGTAAGAAATACTTTTGTGCCAAGCTAGACATTAAGAAGGCATTTAACATGGTCTCTCAGAAATTTCTTATCTCTAGACTGCAAAGAAAGGATTATCGGATAAATTCATTTCCTGGATTATGGGGTGCATTCTTGATGTTCCCTTTTCTATTTGTATAAATGGTGCTCTTGAAGGTTTCCTTATTTCTTTATCTGGCTTTCATCAAGGCAGCCCCCCTTTTCCCCCTTCTTTTTGTTATTGTAATGGATTCATTCTCTTGTGCTCTGGATTTTCGACAATTTTCAGGCATGTCTAGTGGTTCTTCTTCTTTTAACCACTTGATTTATGCTGATGATGTTTTGGTCTTTGGCCAGGCTTCCTTAAGCAATGCTAATGGCTTAATTTAGGTGCTTGACACTTTTGTTGCTTCTTCTAGGCTCCATATCAATAAGGCTAAATGTTCCATTATTTTCTCTAAGAATTCTCTATTAGCCAATAGTATCAATGAAATTCTTGGTTTCTCCCTTGTCGACCACTCTTTGAAATATTTGGGACTTCTTATATCCACCAAAAAGCTTTCTTCTTCTCACTTCCACCCACTACCGAGTAGCATTTCTACTCTACTTGATGGGTGGAAAGTTAAGTTTTTGTCTTTTGCAGGTAGGATTCAATTCCTCAAGTTTACTATTGCCAATACTTTGGCTTACTAGATCAGAGTGACTATTTTACTTAAGCTTTGTTGCAAAACCATAAACAAACTTTGCTCTAGGTTCCTCTTTCATGGAACCTCTTCTGAAAGGAAACTTCACCTCATTACCTGGAATAATACTTGCTTACCTACTAGGCTTGGTGGATTGGGGATCCCTGACTAACATTCCCTTTGCCATGGTTATGGTTGCACCTTCATTTGGAGAATGTTTAATTTTGACTCTTTAGTGGTTGAATGGATGAGATTCAAATTTATCTCACCCTGGAAACCCCCTCCCTCTAAAGCTTCAAAATTTTGGAAATTTATATGTACTACTGCTGATCTTATTAAACACAATATTAAGTTTCATGTGGCTGATGTTAACTGCAAGCTTTATATGTATTGGGACCCATGGGTCAATGGCATGGCAGTTTTTGAGTTGCTTCAGCAACCTCCTCATGGGTATGTTGTTGTGCAATATTTTATATCTCTTGGCTGGTCGAGATTGCAAATTTTTTTGCCCCATTATATCATGCATAAAATTTCCTCAGTCACAATTCTAGACAGTCAGGCTAATATAATTACCTGGAAGGGGAATGAAGCTTTATTTTAAAACTTTTAGGCCGCATTATTTTTCTTATTTGCCACAAGTTTCTGGCACAAACACATTTGGCATAAAAGGTTTGCTCTCATGCTCTACTTTTAAAGATAGTCCGCTCCAATATAAGTAAAAGTGCTTGTCTAATCATCATTTGGGCAGCTGTAAGACGAAGGGAAAGCTTTCTTTAGCACGAAGGAATATTTAGTGGGTCTACACTTGTCGCGGTCATTGTACTTTCCAATATAAGGCACTCATCGCTAGATCAAGTTCTTCCCTATCGTTGCTGGAGTTCTCCTTAAACGTCGTTGGAGTTCTTCACAAGCGTCGCCGAATTTCTTCCCGACCGTCGTCAGAGTTCTTCTTGATCAACACCGGACTTCTGTCCATTCATCGACCATCGTTGGACTTCCGCCAGTTTATTGGTTGTCACTAGATCTCTTCCCAATCATCAAACATTGCGAGACTTTTGGCATTCTCTGATTTTTGTTAGAACTCTTCCTAAATGTTATTGACGTTGTATCTCCTCCCAAATACTGTCACCTACCAACTACGGTCTCAACGACCACCGTTGCCTGACTACGATCCTTTTGATGATCCCCATCATCTGTCGTTTACTATCTCTCCGACCAACAATACCAGACTATGGCCTCGACGACCACTATCGTCCAACTATGCTTCTTCCAATCTCCATCACCCATCGTTTACAGTCTGATCTCCAACCATCAATGCCAGACTACAGTCACTTTGAAGGTCCTTTGACATTATAAGAGCGTCATATATGCTAATGTGTGCAGGTATTTTTCTCAGATGGGATAAGATATTATAATCTACCCCCGTGGCTGAAGTCTTCTTTTTCTTAGGATCTTCAGGGATAATATCATCGTTGATGACTATCTCTTTCCCCTTGTCTTTGTTGGAGATCATTTTCTTCGGTGGAGGCGACAATATCTTATCACTCCTTAGTTGCACTAGATCGACTTCCTCTAGATTAAACTCATTTAATGACATATTTTCTTCAGAGTATGCCATTGTTGCGTCTAGGGATCCATCTGTTGATTCAGAGTCACCACCCAGGTTTACATGTACCATCCGTGAAACTATGTCGGGGTCCGATTCATCTGTCTTTGGAAAAGACAGATCATAGATCAACATCATCCGACTACGATTTTTGTGATCTCCATTGTCGGTGGTCTACAGTATCTACGATGACCATCGTCGTTCGGCTATAGTTCTTCCGACCTTTATCGCCCACCGTTTATGATCTCTTTGACCGTCAATGATAGACTACGGTCCTTGCGACCTATGTCGCCCGTAGATTATGATTCTTCATACAATCATTTTCTTAGTTGAAATAAAAAAAAAAATCAAAGTTAGTTTATCTATAAATATTTTGAATTTAAACATGTAATCAATTTTTTAAAATATATATTCTAAGTGCAATCCCAAACAAGCCTTACAATGTTAAATTTTAAATATTATATTTAAGATTAATAAAATTAATGTAACATAGATATTCATTTGTCAATATAAAATTATAAAATTAAATTATATAAAAATTAACAATGATATTAAAATTAACGTAATTTAATTAATTTTTTTCCTTTGGAAAATATAAATTTGATTTAAAATATAAAAAGATAAAAAAAATAATAAAAATGTACTGTAGCTAGTTGCCCCTTCAATTAAGTATAGTAATTAAATTATATGATTAAATATGTTATAAAATTTCACCTATAACGGGATTCAAAGTCCCCGATATAATAGTTTACTAGTCAACATTGATGAAAACGAAGATCCGCGTGCCGTCAATTCGTCCGATTTTACTTCCTCTACAAAACAATCTCACCACCTTCACCATTTTCACGCTACACTAGGGGTGAAAATGAGTCGAGTCAAGCTCGTCGAGTTGAACTCGAGTCAGGGGTCGTCTCTCACTCCT